CGTATTTAGGAAGATAGATTGGGCGGGGAAATGATATTGTTAATTTTTTCCCCCACATAGGATATTGTTAATTGTTAGATTAAAAGTAAGGGAAATTGCTCTCCGAGGGTGAACATAGGAAAGAGTAAATTCGCCTAATGATCTTGAAAAATACAATTTCTGTAAATTATGAATGAGACTTTTAAATATTTTAAAATATGATTTATTCACGAAATTAATTAGAGGTGATTTTTCTTTTTATCCATTATAATAAATTAAATAATTTTAACTTTTAACTAATTGAATTAAATCCTTACACATACATTCGTCATATCTCTCTCCCTTTCACAATAATTCCTTCCCTTTTTTGGTGGGCAGGGTAATTAATGTGATATTCACATATCATTTCTTATTGTCTTATTAAGTGTACTCTCCTGCTAGTGATGTCCCAACATGAGCAATTCAATTTTATGCTATTAGACAAAAACAAAAAGAGGGTGTTGCCAGGCATGTCACTGACACACGGGGTCTCAAAAGGATGGTGGAACTCGACTTCTAATCAAATGAAGGGGACTCGGGCTTCCTTATCACAGTTCACGTAGATGTGAAAATGTGAATCGAAGAAAATTAATGTAGATGCAAGGAAACAGAAATACATTAATTAAATAAAGAGATGGCGAGTTATGCCGGCTGTACAACAGAAAAGTAAAGACTAAAACTACATGATAAAAGAAACAAATAAAATAAAGTAGCAGACACGAGTTTGGGAATTTGACTGGTAATTTGTTGATGCTAATAATAATTCTTGTTGAGAGAGGGCTCCTTTATTTATAGATGATTATGACTTAGTGTCCAAGCCTTATGATCGTCACTTTGCTTGAATTTAAGAAGTACTTCCTCCATTGTGGCCACTCATCATTAGTAGAGGGTAAAGATAATGACCTAGACCTGATCTTGACTTACTCACTACGACTTCATAAATATTCTTTTTTAATTATTTTACGGCCGATTAAATTGAGTTGAGTTCAGGCCTTCAAATTTACAATTTAGGTGCAAATAATGGCCCAGCATACAAATTGGTTGGACCCTTCGATGGATATTTCTATTGGCTCTACTTCCAAGTGTTGCGTGAGTAATATGTCTTAGAGGATCAGCTCGTTCCCTTTCTAATTGATGGTTGATTTGGTACTTTCTTTAGAGGACACTTTTGTGGTTGAAGATTATGGGCCACATAATCTAGTTTAGGATTAAGTTTCTCAAGGTTTGGGATCTCAAGAGCTAGTTCTATAAAACCTAGTTGCTATGGGGCTCGACCTTAGGACTTTCACTCCTATGGAGAGAGCCCTTTGGGAGAGAGCTCCAATGGAGAGGGCCCTTGTAAAGCTTTCCTTTTTGATTTTGGCTCCTATAATGGTGCCCCTCGTAACTCTGGCTATTGTGGCTTAGGCCCCTGTCCTCCCTAGCAGTCAAACAGTCCTGCCATTGAGTTGGACCCACCATTTTTTTGAGGGATGTTATAGCGGGCCTCATTGTTGATCTTCTAATCGAAAAGAATGCTAGGAGACTACCTCTTGAGTCTATCTATTCTCTAAATGTGTGAGCCAATTGGAGTTTGCCCCTGCAATTGTCTAGACAGCATAGCAAATATATTCCTTAGCCTGTCCTCTAGAGTTTGGAACAAAGCTCTTTGCCTCTCGTTAGCTTGGCATTCCAACTTTTCCCAAGCTTTGGCTCGCTCTTGTTACTTTTTTAGATGTTGTCTCTCAAGTTCCTTTATCAGTGCTTGTGAGGTTGTTGCTTGCTTATTGATACGGTCCTGTATCATGGTTAAAGACAAAGCTGCTAAATCATTAGACACAATAATAGGAGGTTTACCTGAGTGAGAGGATTTAAGACTCTCATCTCAAGCTAGTGGGTAAGGCATTCCGTGAAGAAGTGTTGCCAGTAGCCCCATAGTCACTAGAGTACAAGAGGCTTGTACTTCACATTTTGTGTGTGCAGCCATGTTCTCTGAGTTGTAAGACTTAGGTCCATTCTTTAATTTCTAATAACATATTGATCCTCACATGTCCTATGTATTCTATTCACACGTGTCTCATTAGGTGTGCCAATAATTGTTCAGCAAAAACAAAAAGAGGATGTCGCTAGGCATGCCAGAGATACAAGGTCTCAAAAGGATGGAAAAACTTGACTTCTAATCAAACGTGAGGAACTCGGGCTCCCTTACCAACGTTCACCCGGATGTGAGAATGCGAAGTGAAGAAAATTAATATAGATGCAGTGAAGTAGAGATACATTAATTAAATAAAAAGATGGTGAGCCATGTTGGCCGTACAATAGAAAAGTAAAGACTAAAACTATATGATAAAAGAAAAAAATAAAATAAAGTAGCAATGTGAGTTTGGAAATTGGACTGGTAGTTTGTTGATGTCGATGATGATTTTTATTGAGAGAGGGCTCTTTTATTTATAGATAATCCTAACTTGGTACCCAAGCCCTGTGATTGTCACTTTCTTGAATTTAGGAAGCACGTCCTCAATTGTGGCCACTCATCATGGGTGGAGGGTGGAAATAATAACTTAGATCCGGTCTTAACTTAGTGGTTAACACTTCATAAATACTTTTTTAATTATTTAAGGCTGATTAAGTTGAGTTGAACCCAGGCCTCCAAATTTACAATTTGGATGCAAATATATGCCTTTGCAAATGAGTCTCATTACTAGGCTTTCTTGTGTGAAAATGACTATAAACCTAGAACTTTCATTGTAGAGGGGTATTTGATTCTCTATGATAAGTTAAGATATCTAGAATTTTTTATAGATTGTATTTGATCTATTTTGGATAACTGATTATGTTTTTTTTTTGTGTTTCTGATCCACGATAGTAAATCAATGATATACAATATCGATGAAAATTTATCATCACTATTTAATCTTATAAATATAAAAATCCTCAATTTTGTCATTTTTTAAAAGAGGGTCAATGAAACTATCTTCCATCTTCAAATATTTGAAAGAAATTTTTTTTCAAAAAAGTATTTAAAAAAGGTCATATTATTTATAGAGAGGATAGTTTTATCATATAAAATTTAATTAAATATTAAAATAACTATAATATATAATATAATATATATTAGATTGTTTATTGAGTTTGATTCTGTAAAATAGTCTCTAAAGCTCCGATAGGAAATGACACTTTTAAGCTTTGCGCAATTGGAATCAAGAAAGGAGAGTCACGTGCGTTCACGTTGAGAAAAGTAAATTAGACAAAAGCTAAGCTCGCGTACTTTAGTCACGTGCGTTCAAATTTAAGGAGAGTCACGTGTTTTACTCAGTTGAACCATTGAGAAAAGCAATCGCGGGAAGCCAGCTGGGACTGCAAAAATTAAAATAAATATATGAGTTCATGACAAAAGCTAAGCTCGCGTACTTTAGCACCACTCACAACCTTCCTATTCTGTTGCTGAGTAAAAATCGGTCAAATTTCACAGCAGTTCTTGACCAAATTTATTGACGGTTAGCTCTCTTGAAATTTAAAGCATCAATTCAGTTCTTATGAGTATCATTTGATCTAAATTAAAATTAATTTTTTGAAAAAATGATATAAATAACCCAAACCTCTACATTAATTGTTTATTTTTCATACAATATTTTTTCACTTTCCTTTCATGAGTCATTTATGTGTCTAATTTTACTTGTTTATATTCATAGTGGTATTATACTATTAATGAAAGTTGTAAATTTTTCTTACGTTAGTTATTTATTTGCTATATATCATTTATTTATTTTTCTTACATGAGTTATTCATGTGCTCAACTGTACTTATTTATATTTATAGTGGTATTATATTGTTAACGAGAATTACAAATTTTTCCCACATTAATTGTTTATTTTTCATACATTCATTGTTCATTTTCTTATATGAATTATTTATATGTCTCTAGCTTCACGTATTTATATTTATAGTATTGTTATGTTATTAATGTGAGTTGTAAATTTTTCTTACCAGTTATTCATTTTTTATATATTAATTGTTTATTTTCACTATATCTATTGTTTTTATTTGAGGGGATTGACGTTATTTATGTCATTTCGTTCAAAAATTTAATTCAATTTAGCCCAAGTGAGAGTCACAAAACTTGAATTGATATTTCAAAATTTTAAGGGATTGGCTATTAATAAATTTGGTCAAGAAGGTTGCAGTGAAATTTTCCCAAAAACTTAATAAAAATAGTTCCTTTTATTTTTATAAGAGAATAGATGTAAAAATTTATTAAATTTTAAGATAGAGTTAATAAGATTTAAATTTTTTTATTTTGATAAAACATATTAAAAATAACTTATAAATAAAGTATTTATCATTTTTTTTTTTCAATTTGCCCAAACACCTCTCTAGGTCCTTTCATTGCTTCAACTTCTATGATGAAGTATCATGTTCTCGGGAACCAAAAATAATTTTAGCTTTTTTTTTTACAAAAAAAACAAAGTACCTTTTTAAAAAATTTTTGTGACAACCCAAATCCGTCCTTTCACTGATCATTTAATTTGTAAACTGCGTTGCTTCGACGAGGAATTGTAGCATATCCTTGTATTCTCTATCCAATTTGATGGACTCTTTCTAAATTAGATTTCTTGGATGTACAAATTTGGGAGAAAAATTGATCCAAAACAAAGTGAAGTGTGATTGGGTTCCTTCCAAATGTCCATCAGCTTTGCAAGCGCAATGCCAAGCATAGAACCAAGAGATTGTCGTTAGTGGCTTACGGCTGTGTCCACTATTATTGCAAACGACCAGAATAATAAATTATAAACGAACCATGCTGAAGCCTAAGTTAAGGGAACCTTGTTCCCCATTCTTGTCAAAAAGCCAGTTCACAGGGGACATGGACGACTCAAAAGTCCCACGATCAACGAAAAAGGACACGAAAGGGGACCCACCCATCTGAAAACAGCGGAGAAAGGGCGAAAAAAAAAAAAGCAACCAAAGGGTAAAGTGTTTTCCACGCCAAAAAGCTGCCTCCGCGCACCGAAAAGTGACCTTCCTTCTTCACAGTTCATTCAGTCCCTGAATATTTGACTCCCTTTTACCAGTTTGCCCAAACGTTCTTCCAATGGCTGCTCCAGGTCCTTCCACTGCCTCAACTTCTCCGATGAGATATCATGTTTTCTTGAGTTTCAGAGGCACCGATACTCGCACCAACTTCACCGATCACTTGTATGCTGCTTTGCTTCGACAAGGAATTGTAACTTTCAGGGATGATGTAGATCTTCACAAAGGACATGTTATTAAGGACGAACTCCTCCAAGCTATTGAGCAATCCATGTTTGCCATTGTTGTGCTCTCCAAGAATTATGCTGCTTCTTCTTGGTGTTTGGATGAACTGCGGAAGATCCTAAAATCCAAAAAGGCCTCCGGTCAAACAGTTTTTCCAGTTTTTTATGGCATAGATCCATCTGATGTTCGACATCAAAAAAGAAAATTTGCAACAGCTTTTGAGAAGCATGAAGTTAGATTTCCAGATGTTAAAGTGCGAAGATGGAGAAAAGCTTTAAGAAAGATTGCCAAATTATCTGGCTGGGATACGAGTAATAAGTAAGTTATCCTTAATTTCTTACCCAATTTTTTGTTTTTCTATTCCCACAATCGTTGCTTCTTAATTTTTTTTTAATCTCTTTCTTTTTAGATCAAATTTTTTCATCATTATCTATGTGTGACATTTTTTAAATGACATGTCAAATATATACTTGTTATAGAATGATACATATTCTCTTCATCAACTTTCAAGACTTAGCAGAAAGCTGTCAAGTGTCAACTATAGTATTTCTAAATAGGGAGATTTCACTTAGGGCCTCAGAACACAAAATTTACATTTAGATTTTAATAGAATTTGAAAATGTCCAGTAGGTTGGAGGGTTCTTGTAAATTTTGTTGTGCATAAAAGGATGCATTTGCCCTTATTTCAACATATCCATATATACACGATACAATATTTATAAATTTTTTAACACAATATTCTTAAATGCATAATACATTGAGTGAACATAGTTTACATTTAGTGAACATATATAGTTTACACAATGTTCATGAATATGCAGCAAGATATCCATTAATTCTTAACATAGTGAGTATATATAGATATGTGACATTTGTACAATATAAACTCCATAATGAAAATATATGTTCACTAAAATAACATACTTAAAGTTAATATCTACCATATGTATTGTGTATTCATGAATATTGTATTGAGGATTCCTGTACCTTGTATTGTATATATATGAATATTCTATTAAGACAATAGCAAATACATCTTTTCAACTACTACAAAATTTACAAGAAAGGCTCTTGGAATTGTAGTACATTTTCCAATTTCATTGAGCTCTAAATAAAATTTTTTGTATTTTGGGGACATTAAGTGAGATTCTCCCTTGTAAATATGAATATCTCTGTTAGTTTCATTATAATTGTAATAATAGAGATTTGATGGTTTAGCCAAAAAAAAAAAAGATTGAAATACATTGAACCGGAACAAGAATGAGGTGGTCGAGCTTTTGACATTTTTCTTTGATTTATAACAATTCTCAGTTGCTATAAAAACAGTTTCAGTGGTCATGTGGCATTTTGGGCAATCGAATGATTTTCTTATAAGATATCGTCGTATGTGAGAAAGTAATTCTCATATGTTTTTGGGCCTACTTTGTTGTGGTTCCTTCTCAAATAAGTTGAATTGTTTCTTTTGGACATCGCATATTGTCTGTCATAGGTCAAGTCAGAAATGTCAACTTAATCGGTCGTCCAAGACTCAATTTGATGAAGCGATCCAAAAATTCTGACAATGTCGTGCTGATGCAATGGTTAAAAGAAAAAATGGAGTGTCAACTTAATATATTTACCTTAATCAAAGGCTTGTCTCCAGTTGCAGCTGAATATTGGGGGGGGGGGGTTTATTTTTCCTCTCCTTTATATCCTTCTATACGGAGTCAGGACTCTGAGTTAAAGGATGTGAAATAATTTAATAAAAAATTAATTTTTTTGAAATAACAGTTATATTAAGACTAAAATTGTAATAATATAAATAGTTTTATCATCATTTTTTATTTTAAAAAATTATATTGAATCTTTTATTATAAATATACTCTTCATATTTTATCTAAATTATTAAAATATTATATATTTAATAATTTTTTGAGCCTAAATATTTTTTATTTAATTTAGAGGGTAAAAATATCAAGAGTAGGAGGTATAAAGTTGTAAATTTTATATATTGCACCTCCTCAACCTAATGTGGCCCCGCCATTGCTTCCATGTATCCAATATGCCTATTTAATTTCTCATTTCTCCTTTAATTTGATTGAAATTTACATTTTACAAGCATAATCACTAAATATTCTTCGGTCAAAGCAGACATGAGGCGGAAATTGTTGAAGACATTGTGAAATCTGTCTGGAACAAATTATGTCTGAAATTGCCATCTAATTTTGGACATTTAGTTGGAGACATTCAATCAAAGGTGGATAGAATTATCTCCCTTTTAAAGATAGGATTGGGTGATAAATGCTTCGTAGGGATATGGGGAATGGGCGGTATAGGCAAAACCACTCTTAGTCGAGTTGTTTATGATGCACTTCAAAGCAAGTTTGAGGCTAGCTGTTTTCTTGCTAATTTAAGGGAGGATTGTGAAAAGAGTGGCTTAGTTTACTTACAAAAAAAGCTTCTTTCAGGCCTTGGACTAAGAGAACCAAAAATAGATGATGCCTATGATGGAGTAAAGAAAATAAGAGGTTTCTTGTGCCATAAAAAGGTTCTTATTGTTCTTGATGACATCAGCCATAAAAGCCAACTGGACAATTTGGCTGGAACTGAAGAGTGGTTTGGTGAAGGGAGCAAAATCATAATGACTACTAGAGATAAACAATTGTTGACACAATATGAACAGTTTGAAGAGTATGGTGTTGGAAAGTTGAATGAAGATGAATCCCTTAAGCTTTTATGCCATAAAGCATTTAAAAAGGATGAGCCTAAGGAAGCTTATTTGGATTTTTCGAAAGAAGTAGTTAAATATGCTTGCGGACTCCCTTTGGCTCTTGAAGTCTTGGGGTCATTTCTTTGCAATAGAGATCCAGTTCAATGGAGAGACGCATTAGACAAGTTGAAGGAAAATTTACATAAGGATATCTTTAGCAAACTTTGCATCAGTTATGAAGGATTAGAAGATGAACAGTACAGAAATATATTTTTAGATATTGCATGTTTGTTCATTCGAACATCGAAGGCTGAAGTGACAGATATATTAAAAATATGTGGTCTTCATTCAGTAATTGGAATTAATGTTCTGATTGAGAAATCATTGTTAAGTACCTTCAAATCACAAAGTTTGGGGAATAATTGGGGTTCATATTGCAATGTACATCAATATATGGATGATGGGCTTCGAAAGATGAGAAGGGAAATTTTCATAGACCGAGAACAGCTTGAATATTATTATCCACAAGATCATCTTACAATGCACGATTTGCTTCAAGAGATGGGAAGGAATATTGTTTTGCGAGAATCAAGTGATGCCTGTAAACGTAGCAGATTGTGGCGTCTAGAGGAGATTGATCACATGTTGAAAAGAAATAAGGCAAGAGTTTGATTTTTAAGTGTGCTATAGTTAATTTATGCATGGCAGTATCTTCCTCTTTCGCTTGATATTTTGTTATCTCTCATCATCTTAAATTCATGTGCGCACACATTTATTACAGGGAACGAAAAAAGTTCAAAGCATATGTTTGAATATAGCTCAAAAATTTAAAGCGGAGTGGCACCCAGATTGCTTTTTGAAGATGGAAAATCTTAGACTTTTGGACTTGAGTGGTGTTTGTCTTTCACGGAATCTCAATGTTCTTCCTAGTTCATTAAAATTTCTCAGATGGGATTTTTACGCTCTGAAATCTCTACCATCAATTGATCAGTTGTGTGAACTTGAAAGCCTTGAGTTGCGTTCTAGCAAAATAGAAAGATTATGGAATGGAGCGCCGGTATGCTTTCCTTCCCTAATGTTAAATAAGTTATGGACTCGGTTTCTCTCCTCCTCACCATCCCTCCACTACCCCTCCTCTCCTCTCTATAGATGATCTTAACGGTCCAAATTAAATGTTTTAATTTTAATTTTACGTTTATTGAAATAAATAAATTTATAAAAAATTTTATTAAATCGTATCACCAATCTGAGCAACTAAGATTTAATATAGATTGTAGAAATTTAATATTAAGATTAAGTGTTTTTATAATTTTAATATTAAACTTGTATTTTTAGAGCATATTTGGATAATCAATTTATAAATATTATAAAAATTATTAAATATGATTACCAATTCTTGTTGAGAGTCCAGATTTAATATAGATAATCCAAATTTACTATTAAAATTGTAAAAATTTTATATTTTTAATATTAAATCTGCACAATATCTGTATTGCCAATTTATACAAATTATAAATTTTTTTAATATTAAGTTTGAACCATTCATATTAAATCTGGACTATCCAGATTGGTTGTCAAGCATTTATTAAATTTTTATATTTTTTTATGAATATAAAAAATAATATTTTAAATCTGGACCATCCAAATTAAATTTGGACGATCCAGATCCATTGTCCTTTAGTTGAGGAGGGACCGGGGCGTCCCTTGCTCTGTAAGTTATACACACATATGGAAACACATATTATCTTTTAACTTTTGAAAATACTAATTGTTCTCATTTTGCTTCTGTGTCTTATATGTTGGCCAGCGTTTAGATAAGCTAAGGATCATCAATTTGGCTGAATCTGGAGATCTAATAGAAACTCCGGATTTTAGTGCAACCCCAAACCTTGAGAAGTTATTCCTTGATGACTGCCATAATTTAGTTGGTGTTCATGAATCTATTGGACAACTGAAGAAACTAGTTGAGTTGAGTTTGGAAGACTGTGTAAATCTTGTTAAACTTCCAAGTTGTCTGGAAATGAATAATCTGGAGGTGCTTAATCTTAGAGGATGCAAAAAGCTTGAGAAGCTTCCAGAGTTTGGGAAGAATATGACAAGTCTATACTTGTTAAGTGGGTGGGGAGCATCAATCACAGAAATTCCTTTGTCAATTATTCATTTAATAAATCTCAAATTTTTGGATTTGTACGAATGCGACAAGCTTAAGAAAGTTCCCGAGCTTCCTCCAAATTTAATTATAGCAGCGACTCATTGTGATTTGTTGGAACCCAAAGAAGCAGTTGCAAAATACCTCTCGGGATCACGTGTATCTAAGGTTTTTCATTTTCTCCATGTTATGTAGTTAACGATGTTTCTTAGGTTATACTTTTATTTTATTCTGATTTCAATAAATCGACACTAATTAACAGCATTTGGTAGCCAGTATTTAATATTTGATACTTGATAGTGTTTTATTTTATACGTGACAACATGCTAGTGTTTTGCAGGGTCCCATTCACATTTTTTATGATTACTACGTCCCACTTGGATTCCCTTGGAGAGTAGGAATTCCTGAATGGTTTGAAGGAGAGGATCATTGTCGGAGTAGAGAGAGTAGTTCAAGTGAAGAAGTGCTAACCATAACGGCAAACATACCTTGTGACAGGGCTGATGCTAATAATGGAGAATGCTGGGGAATTGCTGTAGCCCTTATTTTCGGATGTCGTTCCTATGGAAATGATAAATGTTTTTCAGTGAATTGGAAGTTTCAAGATTATTGTCATACCAATAAAAGAACCGCAAATAAAGAGATTAACAGTGCAAAATATTATTTTGTCCATCGAGTATATGTGGGATATTATCCATTTAAGAAGGAGGACTGTAGACCACATCCAAGTGGTGTAGGCATTCAACTTCATTTGACACTTTCTTTCCCAACCAATCCTGCTGCTAAGTTGGGACTTTTCGCGAACTGGAAAATAGTGAACTGCAGATGGCGTCTGACATGTCAGAAACATTTTGATGAAGGGAGATGAACACATCATGCCGCGATATATTGCCAGGTAATGAAAGCAATTACAAAGTGCTTCTCACATTAAAAGGCGTTATATTTGTTTTCTTCTATCAATTGTCTTCCCTCTCTTTCCCCAGCATTTGTCCTCGCATCTACTCCATTACTCACGTAAATAGTTGATTTCATTGTAGGTGGCTGGAAAAATGAAATTAATGTCTTTTCCATAAAAAAATTATGATGGAATTTTTTTCCAAATTTCTTTTAAAAATTGTTCATAAAAAATAAAAGCTTTTCTTTGGTTAAAGACATGACAGTGGTTGCTGTCACATGTAGGCTTGTTTTGCTGAAGCATAAGGAGATAATCTTAAGAGTTCAATATTTTTTTTAATAGTAGAGTTCAATATTTTTAATATCTTGTAATCATATTTTAATTACCTGTACATCTAATATAATTAGATTTATAATATTCAATATACACATATATGGAAATTAAGATGAATGTTTCTTTAAAAAAAAAAATTAGAGGGGCAAATATCATAAGTGGCTTCAAATCCGTACATATCATTATCATTAGCAATATGAATGTTTCTATTCCTTCTTGTAATTTATTTTTTTTATCTCATTTTTCGTGTTTGCAATAATTACATGTTTTTCCTCTGTTGAAAAGTTTCAGTCGTTCATTATTGACTAGTTCAGGACATGCTCGTTCCATGAAGGGAAGCTGCGAATTCTGTTGTAGAACCAAACATGCGTTTCATTAGCGCATACATATATATATATATATATATATATGTATTCCAGGCACAAAATTAACATCTGAGCCCATGTCATCTCTTCCTCAAATCTTCAAGCAGATGATCGTCCATCACTTTACGATCGATGTGTTACATCCAGCTCTTTACAATTTTAAGTTTCTTCATTTAATTTGGTGTGCATGTTCTATTGGCAAGAAGCAAAAATAGCTGAAGACATTGTTGAAGTTGTATGCAGCATGAACCAAATTCAAATTTTATGGTCATTCTTTTTATTATATATTAATTATTAAGTTTAATTTTTCATATAATGCATGCATGATTACTTTTGTTAATTATTGTCACAAATGTATAATATTTAGTGCATAGGTTTTTTTCTATATCCATGTAAGATTTAACAAAATTTTACATTGATTATTAAGAGCTAACACAACTCTCCTCTTTTATCTTGGATTGAAACTGCTATAAATATAAACAAAGTTATTTAGTACATAGTTTCTTCGATTAAAAATATAGTTTAATTCTTTATTTTACCATTCATTTACGTTTTAACATATGTAAAGATGTTTTGTGTGGCTGGACATGAAATCTATTCTTTTTATAACAATTTATTTTTATTATCTGCCGATTCTTTTTTCCATTATTTGGGATTCTTAGTATTTGAAAGCAATTCATAATACTTTCAGTAAGAAAGCTGGATTTTCTTCAACATTTTCTCATAAATTTGATGCAAGAACTACATTAATAAAATTTTTAAATGTATTGAAATCTCAGTTTATATTTATAGAAGTGAAAATCTCTTTTATAAAAAAATAGTGGAACAAATAACAACAAATTTTTTTTCATGAATTAATAATTCACACTTGAAAACAAATAATAACAGCAGCAGTAATAGTAATTGTACTAGGAAAATTTCAATGTCCATAAAAAAAAAAAAATTCTTCATAGACTATGAAGCCACGAAATTTTCTTTCATGAATTTGCAAATTTTTCTTCAAAAATTTTCGTGTGACACAAAATTCTGTCACAAATTTATGCATAGAATGTAGATATGGGGAAATGACAATTAGTGACATGGAACAATATCAATGACAATTACATATCTTAAGTTATTGAATTTTTAATACAAGACCATGATCTTTACTTGTAATTAAAAAATTTTTGAACACTTGATTGAAAAATCTACTAACTACACTTGGGACTATTTATAATATTAATTGAAAATTTATGAATGTTAGTTAAGAATATCAATTTTTTACTGTTAATATACATATAAATCATTTAAAAAATCAAGTAAATATACTTAAAATTATTTGTAATATTAGTTGAGAATTTATGAGAGTTAATTATGAATCACAACTCAATTACTTTATGATTTTTTGCTTTCAATATATAGATAAATCACTTAAAAAAATTTACTAAATACATTTGGGATTATTTGTAACATTAGTTGAGAATTAATAAAAGTCAGTTGTAAAATGCAAGCTAATTACTTGTGATTCTTTATTATCACTTAAAAAATTAACAAAAATAGTTAAAAAAATTTGTAATATTAGCTGAAAATTTATTAAGATTCATTGTGAATCTCAAATCAATCAATAACAAATAATTTATTGCAAGTAAAGGTTATGGTATGTTATTTAGATTTTAATAATTTAGAGTCTATAATTATCATTAATATTTTGATAAGATTTCTAATTGTCATTTTTCTTATAGATACTTCAAAAATTATGATGAAATGCGCGTAATTACAGCACCAAATTATACGCGTCTTATATAGTGGCAAGAACATGGGCACTGAGCAGCGCATGTACTCGCAAGGTCTAGGCCTCTGGAAAGGAATATAGGGAAATTCTATTATTAATATTAATCATTTTGATAGATATAAAAAAAGGATTTTTTTCAATATTCAAACAAGATTACAGGCAGAATAAACAAACCTAATTAGAAGTAACTAAGTCTTCTAACCTAGGGGAGAAATTATCCATATTTGAGCTATTCCAACTTCCAAGTTGGCAACCGGTTCCTAGGCACAGAATTTCAGCATCTGCATCTTTTTTTTTTTTTTGGTTTATACATGAAGAAAATAAAAAATAATTTATTTTATTTATTAATTTCTCAACCATGTATATATTGTAAATGTAAAATAATATCTTATCTTACTTCATAATCTTTCACCTTGTGCAAGTAAAAAACTCAAATAATATATCTTATTCTAGACTTCTTTATCCGATGTATGGTGCGTGTTTATATGTCATTCGACTTAATTGTGGGTTATAAGACATTATTTATTGATCATGTAGTGATTTCTTTAATTATTTTACTCATCGCATTGCTATTTAATATGTATTCATTACTTTCATCAAACTAGTTTAAACATAAATCTAATTGGAATACATCCCTAAATTCTCCATCCAATATCACTTAAAAAAAAAAAGCTGCCTTGTGATGGAAAATTTTGTCACTAATAAGTGAAAATTATGTTGCTAAATAGGTTAGCGACAAAATATTTTTGTTGATAAATTAGCAACAGAATTGCATTTTAGTGCTATGGTGATGGAAAATTTCCACCAGTAAACAAGTATAAGATATTTCAATTTTACAACGGAATGCATTCTATTGCTAATTTATCACAAATTTATCAACAAATTTATTCCATCGCTAATTTTTTAGGTTGATCAAAACATTATTGTCATGTCACCTGGTGGATCAATACCACCTCATCATCGCCTCATCACTTAGTGGACTAGTGCTACCTCAGCACCACCTCATAGTCATGTCACGCCACCTCACTATCATGTCAAATATTATTACTTTCAATTGTGTCATAGCTAGGCTCAAACTCACAACCTCATACCCCTAGTGCATTTACATCTATCTTATTGTTAGTTGAGCTGAAAGAATTTTTAGTCTTAATTAATAAATTAAATAGATAATATTTAACCACACACATATATATTAATAAATATATTATCTAAATTTACTTATTTATTTAAAATTATATTTATTTATTAATATGGTAAAATTAATTTATATATAATAATTATTTATATTATATTTTATGTTGAAAAATTATTTTTCTATAATAAATTTAATATTAAATTAAAAAAATTATTACCATAATATATTATATTGTAATTTTTATCTATATAATATACTCTCTTCATTCAAAAATATAAAACATTTTTTGAAAAGTTGGATATTCAAAATGTAAGTATTTTTAATCTTTTGAGGTGTAATCATTACTTGTTTTTTAACAAAGTGCCCTTATTAATGAATGACTTTATATTTATTGTAGGGTGTTTAATAGAGGTAAATATGAAAAGATAGAGTTAGTTTAAAAGTAGGTAACTACTTTATTAGGAGATGAGATTTGATTAAAAATACCTTACATCTTTTAATAGAGGGAGTATAATTTTTAAAATTTTTATTTAATAATATTTTTCATTTTCATTTTTATTTTTTAATAAGAAGAATTATGTATACAATTTAAATTATTATTATTATTAATATACAATAGTTTAAAATAATAAATTATTTTGAATTATAATTTTTAAATTATTTATTTATAGCATAATAATAAATTATTAAATAAATTATATATAAATATATACTATAAATAATAAAATAAAATTAAAAATTATTAGCAATGAAATTATGACATAAATTTTGTGATGGAATTTTTCATCATAAATTCCGTCACTAAAATAGAATAAGATATTTTAAAAATTAGCAATAGAATATTCTGTCAGTAAATTTCTTTGCTAAATTATTTTTGATGGATTAATAATGGAAAAATGATAAAATTTTAGTGATGAAACATTTCATCGCTTTCTATCACTAAATTCCGTCGCTAAATTAGTGAAAGATTAGCGACGAACAAAAATTTTGTCACTAATTTATTATTTTTGTAGTGTATGACGGACTCTTTTTAAATTAGATTTTTTTAAATGTATAAATTTTGGGAGGCATTGATCTAAAACAATGTGGACGCATGTGATCGGGTTTCAAATATCCAGTTGGTTTGCAAATGCAATGCACAAGCAAAGGAAGACCAATATATTGTTGTCCATGGCTATGTCCATTATTATTGCAAAGGACAAGAATAATAAATATGTTATAAATATTAAAAATAGAGTGAATGTCCATCTTCCTCATCTCTTCATCTTCATCTTCTTGCATGAAACTCTCATCATCATGAGAGTTTATTACCCTTTATTTACTTTTATCATTTGTGTAACCTTGAATGTGTAAAACTATGCATATAACTAATGCATGCTATTTGTATTGAAAGGCACAATACTCTATAAAAACATTCTCTCATTCTCTTATCTCTACTTTTCTCATCTTTATTTTCTAGTTGCTTAATTTCATAACAAAAGAAACCATGCAAAACCTTTTTTTTTCAAAGACTAAAAAATATGATCACATTATCAAAATAGAGAATACAAGTAAGCTAAGTCGAATGCTTCTCATCATCTACCAACTTCTGACAATAAAATAGTTGATGGTTAAAATTATGAAAATCACTAATCTAGTTTGAGGCAATTGCAGCCATGTAGTGAGCGCAAAAATTAGTTTTCCTATTCATAAATTCTATAGTCACCCTCCTGTCCTTATACAACAAAGATTTAACATTGGTAAGAATGTCATAGTATTAGTGTAACTGAATGTGATTTCTAAAAAGAAAGTTAATTGTTTTTATAAAATCATTAAACACTCTAACCTTACCAAAACCCTTATCCTACAAAGGCCCTATAAAATGGATAATTCTTTTGGTCCTTTTTATTAGTCATATTTTTTTTGAATGAAAAACTGAAATGCATTACTAATCAATCTTAGACAATAGAGTCTAACCAACAAAAATCAAAAGAAAAAGACAAATCTATCCTCTTTTATTATCTTTCACTCTTAATTTTTAGCATGTATGATAATCAAAGAGGCAAAAGTTAACATCTAATGAGTGAGATAGACTTGCTAGGTAATTAGCAACTCTATTGCAGTCCCTATACACATGATTAAATTGAATATGGTTCTCCATGAAGAAGGATCTAGCTTGGTCAACAATATCTTGAAAAGGAAGCTGGCATCACAACCATGGATGATAAGGTTGATCACTTTAAGACAATCTAAAAAAATTACCACTTTGAGTAAGTTCATTCCTTACACAAGTTAAGTCCTTGTATAATGCCAATCATTTTTGCCACTACAAGGGGGATGGAGATCAATATGGAGCTGAAACCACAAATCCATGTATTA